GATAACAAGCACCATGATTCTAACGATGCCAAGTCTCGAAAAGAACCCCTATAGCTCCTACAAGATAGCTGCGCCCGTTTGAACATGAGCTTTGAAAGCGTTGCTCGGGTGGGGTGCCTTTGTGGCCAGAATCGGTTCCAACAGAACACATTGTGGTGTCATGTGACTTGCAGCCATAAGTTTAGTGCATGCTTTCAGGTTTCCTCTGAAGCCCACTGACCTACACAGCAGGTGACTGTGTTATGGGTGGCCGCTACGTTGGTAATCGGTCGGTAATATAGACGATCGGAATAACTATTAGTCATAGTATTCCGACACTCTTCCCGACACCCTACGCCAATCAAGGCACCCAAAGCTTAAGATTCAAGATAGGGTTGGCCCCGGAGGAACTACCCGGCGCCAGTGTGCCCCGGCTCAATGCACCATTTTCATGTAAAGCGATCATCGAACAACCCGCCTGTTTTTTGAGATTGGGGGGTTCAATCTAAGGTTGCTCATTTTCGGGATTCCTTAACAGGCCGCTGGCTCCCCCACTTTCTGAAACTTGCAACTCTTCAGCTGCCTTCCACAGAGAATGATTTTGTTGTTAGGGAACAGGAGTTTACAGTGCCTTATGCCCTCGATGCGAAAGGCTTTGAGCATAGAGAGTCTGAGGGCATTGCTTCGGCTGGGGCTGTCAATCGTCAGTTTCATGTTAAAAAAGTATGGTTCTCAATTCCGAGGTCTTCCATGAAGCTCTAGACCGATGTCCCTTCATTCGAAGCTTGCAACAGTGTAGCCGCGCGAGGGGATGGCTGCAATAGGCGCGCGAAAGTAGTGCTAGCACAAACGCTTACATAGTTCAGGCCTTGAAACGTACGCTAGAGTGATAGACACATGCACACCGAAATCGTTAGGTAAGTTAGCTATCATTTGCCGCTTCGTTTCTGGGTTCCTTTGCAGCATCATGGTCTGACTTCCGGGTCTGTCGGATGTTCAGAACGGAATGCTCTGAGCATTTACGTGCGGGCTATCCTCTTCAGCTCAGGGTCGCTTTGTTGACATCGTGCCCATAGAGCGACCATCGAGGACTTGTCATCGTAAGTTGTAGTAGTACAGATTAAGAGGGACAAGGGCATGTTTACACTAGTTTGCATATTACATCTCATGTGATGCTTAAGCTTTCCTGGTCCTGCCATTTGGCTCAACGCCCGGGGTCCTTGCCAAGCCTGCAGCATCTCGGCAATTCTCAGTTTGCTGCCAAGCTCGGTGTGGGTATTTCTGTAAACTGGGTCCCCACAGAAATACATGACTTCTAAAGGAACCACCTCCGCAGTTCTCGGCAACTTGTCATAGAACCTTGGGGTCCTCGATGCTGACATCGATCCGCTTGAACAGTTCTGCGCACATCACCCCTATTTACTCCCTGCACTCCTTTCGAGAGGATAACGTCCGAGGGATTTGAGGCAGGTTATCTTTTAAACAATCGGGAAGCTGCGTTTGCTTCAAGTTGGACTTTATGCAAATTTCTGGCTGCTTGGGGCCTAGTTTCAGTTGCTACACTTCGTGTCGGGGGACCTTGAAAGCGAAGACGAAAGCCTGGCGGGGATTGAAACCCTCTTCGTGTGGATAGCCTTGAAGCCACTGGGCCACAACCCAAAAATCCTCCGCATGCAAGCACTAAACCAAAAAGCCCTACCAATTCCTCAACCCAAAATCTTAAATTGCATTGAAAACCTGCAACAGGCCTGAACCTCAAGCTTTCCAGTTTAGGCGTGAGGCCCAAACCCGAAACGCGAAGCCTGTCGACTGGCACATGCCGACCGAGGATTCTGCAGATGAGATGTCAGGCCTCCATATACCCCCGGGCGAGCCTTGGCTGTGTTAAGTGCCTTAACCCTAGGCTGCTGTGCAGCGTATGCCAGTGTGTGTCGGCTGAAAACGTACATCGCAACATGTAGTTTGGAGCAAGCCTACAAACCTGTCTGTGTATGCATAGTTGCTGTATCTGTGCAAGACATCTATCTGTTTATCTGCCTATCTACCTAATGGTCTGTCTGTCTTGTCTGTACATGTATATATATATATAATATATATATATATATATATATATATATATATGTGTGTGTGTGTGTATGCATGTCTGAACATCCGTGCATGCATAGGTACATGCATGCAACAGCTCAGCGGATGCTAGTTTTATGTCATTCTTCCTATGGTAAGGAAACCTAAGAAAACTCAGCCAAGCCTCGGACGAAAGGACAGGGGCCCTTCTGAGATAGCTATAGTCTCCATTGTAGTTCCTTTCTGGGGTTACCTTTCAGGATCCTTAATATAAAATTGGTTAAACCAAAAAAAGGAACTACAATGGAGACTGTAGGTAGCATTTTATGAGCCAGAAACCCAAAGCCCGAAGCCGCACCATAAACCCTCGGAATCATGCCTCGAGCCCAGGGGCGATGCATGGCCATTGCCGTGCTGGCCCTTCTAGGCAGAGAATTGCCCAGTTTAGGGTCAAGGGGTTTCGGGCTGAAGACTTTTGGGGGTTCGGGGTTGAGCGTCTGGATACGCATTCCATCTAGGATAGGAGGGTTCCGCTGCTTCTCGGAGTGCACCTCTTGTCCACTGTCTCTTTGCCCCGATGCAGGCAATTTTGAAAGACCCAGGGCTGGCAAGACACGCAAGATACCCTGAGACCTGTCGACAGTCCCCCCATCCATGAATCACAGACCACACAACTGTTCCAGAGCTTGTCCCCTTTCCGACACCTCTGACGAAACAAACCCCGGACCCTCAGCCCACGCTGTTTCATCCATGGCGGAGCCATGGCGTCGGGTTCTTGCTTCCCTGACGGACGAGCTGGAACAGATGTCGGACAAACTTCGAGACATGAAGCAGGAGTCCGGGATTGGGAAAGATCTAGGAGTTTAGGGGTTTCGATTTCACTGAGTCACCTGGCATATATGTCCCAATGTCCTGTGCCAGAATGTCTTAGCAAAACAAAGTGCCAGAAGGAGTATGGCATCGTGGGATAAAGAGGTCGCTCGTTAAGGTTGGTGACAGTTCGAGTTGAATGTCGCTGACTTTTTTTCAGGTGAAAGCTGGGTTTTTGTCTCACACGTGTTTAAGGCTCGTTCCACAACAGTGAGCATGATGCATGTCTTCTCCGGATGCAGATTGAAAGCTCTACCAGACCGCTGGACTGGACCCTAAGCCCATCTAAGCAAAAGCCCGACTTGGTGCACGTGCTGACCACCTTGCAGCAAACGTGCCTTTGCATTACATACTCGATTTTCGCTCGTGCGTGTGATTTCTGAAAGTCTTGATCAAGACGGCACGCATTTCACGCGGTGTAGTTGGTGCGGAAGGTTCGATCGAAGAGTGCAGCGAAACGAACTGCTGACCGGCAGGAGAATGACTGGCTACGGGCTGCTTTGCGGCATGGACTTGCCCAGAGGTAGACAGGAGAAGCGAGATACTGTAACACAGAAGTGTTTGCCGTCTCCGCTTTTTCTTTTCGACATGCTACTTGCATAGCATGCGAGTAATGAGCAAGTGCAAGAACTATAGACGCGACTACCAGTCGCTTTGAGACTGCTTATGATTCGGGTTCTCTACGAGTAAGGACCTGTGCGCGCTGCACAGTGATAGTGCAAGACCTGTGAAGCCAGCACGTCCTCCGTCGATTGTGGAGCCGCCAGCGCCGCCCTCCATCGCACCGAAGAAAGAGATGCTAAGACTTGAATAAGGCATTCCTTTTTCATTGCGTTTCTTTTTTTGGGGTCGCGAAAAGCCTATAGTTACTGGTGGGAAAGCCTCGCATCAAAACGAAGGCCCATGTCCGCTTTGGTGCGCGGTTGCCTCAGCTTCCAACTGGGAACTACATAATATATGGACCGTACCTAAACCCCGCAAAGTAGGTAAAATAATGGCCCAATACCTATAAAAGGCTGTAGAATAATACCAAGTACTGGTGAGAACCTGATTGGAGACGTTTGGGTGTTGCGGCTATATCTGGGGCTGGACAGCTTTTAGCTTTTTTGGTGGTTGAAGGGTGTTCGTTGCAGTCGTCATTGCCATCAAGCATAGGACTTGCCACAGACACGATCATTCCAACGACAATATACTAACAGTGTACTAGTAACACTTAGAATCGTAATTTAGCCTTCGTTGTGGGGTTCAGTGTTGGGGAGGGTGGCGTTGTCAAGCCATGGTTAAAGCTTTAGCGCCTCAAACTGCACAGCCCCAAACAAACACAAAGCCCGGACCAGACACATCACTCTGCCGGTTTAGAGCTTGGGGTCTGGGTGAGGGCTTCAGGGCCGGAGCTAGGAATCCCAACTTCGTGCCCGAGTTGCTCTTAATCCACGGATCTGCAGGGCTTTTCGAAACCTGAGCCCTCACTCAACCCTAAACCCCAAAACCCTAAACCCTAAACCCTACCGACTCAGATGAGCCGTAACTGTAGTCGACGCGAACCGAGACCCTCGCCGGGCTGCGTCCGAGATGCGAGGGCCTAAACCCTGACTATTGAAGGGTTGCCCAGAGAGCCCAATATCCCTTAATTGTGGAACATAGCTTAAATCATGATATGAATTCCCTTATAATTTAAGGTGTATTCCTTAATTTAGGGTATTGGGCTCTCTGGGGAGCCCCAGTCCGACATCCCATTGCCCACAGGTTTCGGTCAATTGGCTTAGGCTGCAAGTTCTGCACCCGAGACGCGAAATGAATCCGAGATTCTGAATCCTGAAGCTAGGATAGTAGCTCAGTAGTAGAGTGGCCCTAATAATGAGAGCAGGGTTTGCATGGGGGTATAGTGTACTATATAGTTATAACGAGGACCTCAACAAAACCCCATCCTAATTATCAAGGCCCCTACATTGCTGGGTTGAGTTGTTCAGACCTGCGTTTATAGTACTGACTGATGGTCTTTTCGGAATTTTCCATCCGGAGGGGGGCTCATCTTCTGGGAAGCTGGAACTCTCCTCGGTTCCCTCTGTGGCACAGGTCGTTCAGTCATGACAGACGCGGGAGGTGACACGGTGTCGACTTCAGACGGTCGTTTATGGAAAAGTGGAGACGACAGTGACATGGTGGAGGAGGGGTATGGGAACCATCAAGTTCGGAGTTATTCCGCCCAGGTCGACGATTTGGGGGATTTTGGGGTCTTCCCAGGGTCTGTAGGTCGTAGAGTTTTGAATTCCAAGTTTTCCGGAAAGAAGAGATGAACATGGAATCAGGTGGTTCCACACATTCACTGCGACATCTCTGACTGCAGCCTTTATTGCAAAGCCCTTTTGTCGCGTTCTAACTCGTTCTCGGTCTCCTTCTGTTGATAGGCGTTGCAGGGAAACGAGCGTGAGTCCTGCTCACTAAAACTAAAAAACCCGAGGCCATCCTTGCAGAGCGCCGTTCGGTTTAGAAATGGGGGCACACAATCCAAGCCCATGCTGAAAAAGGGTCTAGGGTTTAGGGTCTTTAATGCTTTGCCCCAAACCCTGAACCCAGGCAGTCAAAGCGCTTCGAAGTTGAGCCCTCCTTTGGCTTGCCCCTCCGCGATTTGCGGGCCTTCACCATCTTCCCCCCGAAGCCCGGAACCCTAGAAGCCCCTAGAGCACAGAAGGCCCAGGAAGCCTCTTAGGGGAGATTCTCCGAAACCCCCAGAGCCTCAGATCGAACTCCCTTGTGGATGCCAAGCCCTAGGTCTCCGATCTCTTTAGGCATTGCTCCGGTACGCATTGTGACTTAAGGTTCTTGTTCTTAGTATGAGAAGTTGAAGCATCTACTACAGTGGTAATGTAAGGTTCAAGGGGTTGTTGGGGCCATGGAAGCACCCACAAGCACGAAATCGGATGTCATCCTAAATACGTTGAAGCCGCTTTTCATACAAGAACATAAAACCAAACATCCGGCAGCCGCCGCAACAGCAGCCCATGCACAGGAGCTTCATCCGAACTACGTGTCGGAGGACTCCTCCAACCGAGCCATACCAACTTTTGAGAAGCCAGGCTCTTCTGTTAGTATCGGAGTTGGATTAGTACCCGGCTGTAAACAGTATGTGCTTCGGGCGGTGAGAGGGGCCAATCACACCTGCAGGCTCGCATTAGCCTGTGAAATACTGTGTAGTGTCTCGCAGAGAGCCCAATACCCCTTAATTAGGGAATATAGCTTAAATCATAATATGAATTCCCTTATAATTTAAGGTACAATCCTTAATTTAGGGGTTTGGGCTCTCTGGGCTTATGTTTTGGGAACCTAGGAGCCCCTTCTGCCAATGTCTGGTCCTTGCAGTTGTTAACTGAAAATCCAAACCCTTCCTATAGTCTCCATTGTAGTTACCTTTTAGGATCCTTAATATAAAATTGGTTAAACCAAAAAAAGGAACTACAATGGAGACTATAGGTTGGTTGCTGCCACTGAATTTCTACCCTGCCCCAGGACTCTGCTTGAGGCGTAGCTAGACCGGTGCTAAATGACCAAGACGCTGTCAAAAGCCCTGAACACTGCAGCGTAAACCCTGCATTGTAGAAGAGAGAGTCCCTAAAGGCCGTCAGCTGGGCGGGTGGGCAAAAAACCCTGGTGTGGGGTTGAGGGCCCTCAATAAACGACGAATGCGCCGCAAGACTAGCGACTAGCGCCATCCTTATGGGCCTGGGGGGGCATCTCTTCTACCAGACAGACCCTAGACCCTGAGTTCCTTGCAATCCGAGTTATATACTTACATAAGCCCTCATAAACGGTACGTCTTTGAGGGTTCAGGTAGACCCAAAGCTCCTAAACCTTGGGCGTCTGCTCTTAGCGAACCTGAGCCGCTGCAGATCAGTAAGATTTTGGGCCCCCGAGATCACAAGGACAAAAAGAGATCATAAGGTCGTAGTGTAGGATCCTGATTAAGAAACCTGTATTAGGGTTCCTTACATGAATCCGAAACTGTTTTGGGGTTATAGGGCAGGGTTTCTTAATCAGTCAGTTTCTGACTTTATACCGGAGTAGTTTGGTGTGCCCCAGTCGTCTCGTCCGAGCTCCGATGGCCGAGGAAGTTGGTGAATCGAGTCGCCTCCGAGAAGACAACTGGATCCAAGTCCCGGTTCACCGACCTGATTGGATTGAGCAAGAAGCCTGTCGGCAAATGGGGGTTCCCAAAGCTAGGGGTACCTTATCTTGGGGTCCTGATAATAAGGATCCTACTATTTAGGGTACACTATTAGTGTCCCCTATTTGCGGAAACTCCCAAATGCCACCCCTAACTCTCAACCTCCTAAACCCTGAACCCCTACCCGGACCCCCAAACTAGGTAGTAAAATGGCCTTCTAAGGCAATGGGCCATTATTTTACATACTTTGGGGGGCGTTAGGTAACCCGTACTAGTAGGAGTGGCACTGGCAGTTGCGGTAGTAGGAGTTTAGTAGTAGTGGTGGTAGTAGTAGTAGTAGCGGCAGTAGCAACAGAAGTCCTGGCAGTAGCAGTCGTGGCGGTTGTCGCAGCCGTGCTCGCTTTGGTTGTGGGGATGGTGCCGATGCTGGTGCTGGTGCTGCTGGTCCTGGTGGCGGTGCTCGTGCTGCTGGTGCCTGTGGTGCTGGTGCTCTTGCTGCTGCTGGTGCTGCTGGTGCTAGTGCTGGTGCTGCTGGCGCTGGTGGCTGTTGTTGCTGTTGTTGTTGTTGTTGCTGCTGCTGCTGTTGGTGTGATAGTGACGAGTAGTGGTGGTGTTGCCTCTGGCGGTGGTAGTCGTAGCGGCGGTGACGTTGCTGCTGCTGCTGCTGCTGCTGCTGCTGCTGCTTGTAGTTGTTTTGGTAGCGGTGCCGGTGGTGACCAGTGGTGGTCCAGTGACAGTGACAAGGGATTTAAGTAGTCTCGCTCGTGCTGGTCATTGTGTTGTGGGAACTCTTGCACAAAGTCTAGAGCTGGATCAACAACCCACGCGTCCAGTCTGGGTCAGGGTCAGCAAAGCTCTCCGAAACATCCCTTCCGGGCCATGAAGGCCCGTAGGACCCAAATTCAGCAACGCCATGGGCCCACTTCGACTTCCATAAGACAGATGCCACCGGTGTGGCCGAGAGACAGTACGAAACACTGCTTTCAGGAAGCTCGCCAATCCACGGATTGACTTCATGATCCTGCGAGCCCAGAAGACGAAGCAGTTTGAAATTGAGAAGCCCTGGTATATCATCAATCCTGCGACTTGGTTTGTAGGATTCAGTCTCGTGTCTTCTCGTGACCCCATGAAGATCTTGATGTTGGAGCTGCGGGCTAGGGCTAAGGTTTGCCTGTAGTTACTGTAGTTCTTGTTGTACAGCAACGTATCAAGTAATTGCCTTAAACCTTAGCCCATTCTTTTCAGTCATATACCCAGTCCAAGTCTTGAGGTTTGAAGTCATGACCGGAGTCAGAACACCCAACAGACTTGATTGCCTTTCTGGACGAGGTGTGCTGCATCCATCGCATCGTCTCACGTTTTTCCCGCCCCCTGCACCCCCCGCCCAAGTCCGACTGCGATAGTCAAAAATGTCAACTGCGTCAACTCTAAGCTCCAAGCCTTGAGCCACACCCTAGCCAATGCCTTCCTCCGTGCCCCTGAGCATTTTCCTCTCCATCTTCAGCTTCTGCCTTTGCTTCCCCGTTTCGATTTGCTTTTCTGCATGTCCTCCGCTTTCTTCTTCTTCTACTACTGCTACGGCTACGGCTACCGCTACGACTACTGCTACTGCTACTGCGACTACTACGACGACGACAACGACAATTACTACCACGACGACGACAACGACAATTACGACTACCACTACCACGACGACTAGTCCTACTGCGACTACGACTACGACGACGACTACGACGGCGATTAATTCCTACTACGACGACGACGACGACTACTACTACTACTACCACAAACTACCTACTTCTAGTAGTCGTAGTACTACTGCTGCTGCTGCTGCTGCTGCTCCAACTACTACTGTATACTACTACTGCGACGACGACAACAAAAAGTTACTACCACGACGCCGACAAGAACAACAACTACTACTACCACTGCGACGGCGACCAGTCCTACTGCGACTGCGGCTGCGGCGATCACGACGATTACTACTACTACTACTACTACTACTACTACTACTACTACTACTACTACTACTACTACTACTACTACTACTACTACTACTACTACTACTACTACTACTACTACTACTACTACTACTACTACTACTACTACTACTACTACTACTACTACTACTACTACTACTACTACTACTACTACTACTACTACTACTACTACTACTACTACTACTACTACTACTACTACTACTACTACTACTACTACTACTACTACTACTACTACTACTACTACTACTACTACTACTACTACTACTACTACTACTACTACTAACTACTAACTACTAACTACTACTACTACTACTACTACTACTAACTACTAACTACTACTACTACTACTAACTACTAATTACTAACTACTAACTACTAACTACTAACTACTAACTACTAACTACTAACTACTAACTACTAACTACTAACTACTAACTACTAACTACTAACTACTAACTACTAACTACTAACTACTAACTACTAACTACTAACTACTACTGCTGCTGCTGCCACTACTACTACTACTACTACCACTACTTCTACTACTACTACTACTACTGCTACTGCTACTGCTACTGCTACTCCTACTGCTACTGCTACTCCTACTGCTACTGCTACTGCTACTGCTACGACGACGACCACTACTACTACTACTACTACTACTACTACTACTACTACTGCTACTGCTACTACTATCACTACCACTACCTATAACAACTTCTACTGCTACTACTGCTGCCCCCACTACTGCTGCTGCTGCTACTACTACTACTACTGCCGCCGCTACTACTACTGCGACTGCTACTGCTGTCGCTGCTACTATTACTATTCTATTGCTGCTACTGCTACTGCTACTGCTACTGCTACTACTACTGCTACTACTACTACTACTGCTACTACTACTACTACTACTACTACTACTACGACTACTACGACTAACAACAACAGCAACCACAACAACAACAACAACTACTACTACTACTACCACTACTACTGCAACTGCGACCCACAGCAGCTATGCAGATACGAGTAACAGTGTCAGTAGCAGTACCATTCCTCAGCGGATTCTCAATGCTTGGAGAAGGAGCTCCGGAGTTATGCCTCGGCCCCTCTTGAGTCCAAAGCTGTAGCTGAGGACAGCAGCTCCTTGTTCGCGATTTGGCAAGGCCTCAGCTTCCTGGCGCTCACATTTGTGGCTCTGAGCCTTGGCGGCAGAGCTCCAAAGCCGAGAGTTTAAGAAGATGATGAAGATGGTGATGAGGACGATCACGATTCGTGCAGTGCCAGCTTCGATGGCGGTTTGTGGGGATCGTAGTTGTCCCCTGGTCTTGTAAGAGATGTGCCCAAGAAGTCCTTATTCGCAGCTTTTCACCTAGGACCTAGGCTTTCCCCAGTGGCACTGCTTGTGTCACGTGGAGGTTGACCATCTAGAATCTAGAAACCAAGACATCTCGCCGGCCCTTCACTCCGTCACCCTGTCTGTGTTCTTACTACTCACTGGCTCATTCTCTCTGCTTGGCCGTCCGAGAACTACTGCATTCAGCATTGCACGAAGATGGAAGACGATGGAAATGGACCTGTAATTTAACTAACACAATGATCCCGCAGAGGTGGTGCTCATTCCGCTAGAAATCGTGTGACAAAGCCTGCTTCACGGTCCAAGCAGGAAATTCAGGGGTTCGCTGCAAACGACAGTACAAACTCTGAAGCCTTGGAAGCTGGTTTCCGTTTCTCTCTCACTCTGTCTCTGCCTCTCCCTCGCTGTCTGCTTGTTTTCGTCTCTGCTTGTCTTGCACGTAGATAGCCAGTCAGTTGACATCCTCGCTGAAGCCTCCTTGGGCAACCCGCCTCACATGAAGGATCACGCCGATACAAGTCGGTCTCATCGCGGAGTACAAATTCGCCACTCGGATCTGCTTTCAGCTTGATTTGGTAACCGCAAGAGATCTTGCACATACAAATTGAAAAGCCCATATCGTGAACCATCTCATTCAGGATGTCTGATCAAAGTTTCTGTGTTTTTCCGACTCTGCATCGGTGGTCCCGGTGATGTCATGTCATGCAGCATTCTATTTCCGGATAGCCGACCAGATGACAAGATGGATACTAAGCAAATGCACGAAGACAAAGCAAACAGCTGTCGGAGTGGAAGACAAAGCAAACAGCTGTCGAAGTGGTCGGATGCTGTTCTGGATCGGGGTCGAGGGGGCGGAGCCACACGCCGAGTTGGTTCTCGACCGGTGCCAGCCAACAGGATACGCTTGCCGCGGTGAGCTTATGTGTGGACGGCATTTTTCTCGTGGATCTGCTGATGCTCCTTTGCTGCAACTGATATAGTGTGCTGAAACGCTCAGGGCAACTGATGCTTAAAGTTCACTCCCATGTTACCTATACTACAGTCTCCATTGTAGTTCCTTTTTGGGGTTACCTTTTAGGATCCTTAATAGAAAATTTGTTAAACCAAAAAAGAAACTACAATGGAGACTATAGGTATTTTTGAAGCCTCAAAATCCAAACCTGTTTCTCTTGCAGAGTCGGCATTTCCCAATGTGGTTTTCGGCTAGGTTCGATAGGCTTTCGTGGCTAGTTTTCGTCTGATCTCACCATCTTGGCCTAGGCTACAGATAAGTCCTTCCAAGACCTTGGCCATCAGTGCCACTTTTTACAGTGGGCAACTAAATCCGAGAACACCGTTTTTGCACACTTCTTCAGCGTTTTAGAACTCAGGAAGTGCTTAAGTGACTCTTGAGAGCCTCTGCGCGATAGTATGCTCCCAAGGGTTTTTGCGTGTAAGGGCCTTGCCAGCAACTACTAAGAGTTTGTAGCATCAGTCGCCATCTGCGATTTGCCTGCGATTGAGCTTGGTGAAGGGAAGCGGCATGCTTAAGGACCTCACATCAAAACAAGAAAAGTTATAGGTATAGTTGATCGGATAAATGCGTAAGTTTACATCCGGATATACGCATACATAAATACATACATACATGCATACTTACATACCCGCATACACACGCACGCACACGAATAGGTGTGTGTGTATCATTATGTATATATACATATATATATATACATATATGCGTGTATACGCATATTTTAATGTAATGATATGGCATATTGCAGTATATCTCTCCCATAATGTGATACGTGCATACACCTGTACCCTAGGCTTCCAGGGGCCTCATTATTGTGTCATGAAGGGGTGTCAAGGGCCCTAAATATAAAGCTCTTGGGCAACATTGGGTGCGTGTGTATATATATATATATATAGATACATACATATATATATATATATGTATATATATATATATGTAATTTATTACATGTGTATCTGTATGTATATATGTATATATATATATATATATATATATATATATATATATATGTTAGCATGTGTTTTTGCATGTGCATATAGACACACACACACATATATATATATATATATATATATATATACATGTATGCATGCATGTCCGTAATGCAATGTACATGTAGTGTATTGCAAGGCATACTGCAATGGAATGGAATATACGTGTGTATGTATGTATGTACTTATGTATGTATGTGGGTAGTTGTCAAAAGTATGGTCCCCTTTCGTGTCCTTGATATAATACGGCACCTATTATTTAGGGTACCCAAAACGGGTACCCAAAAAAAGGGGCCATAATTTTGACAACTACCCATGTATGTACCAGGATTTGAGCAAAAAAAGGCTGGGTTGGGGAAGCCTCGGAGATTGCTCTGGGCTCGGCTTTCTTCGGCAGCCTGTGTAGAATACAGAAGCCCGAACACACAACGACCGATCTTATTCCTTCGGCCCCCTGATTATGTATGTCTATACTCCAGTATACTCCAAGGCCCTATTCTGATTTTTGGGGCCCCTACATTAGAACAGACGGTGTCTAATGCTATTTCAGGCTTAGCGGAGTCTGTAAATGCTCCAGAGTGCAACACTGTTCTGGCCTCAACAGATTAGCGTGACTTGATATATCAGCAATCTAATCCGTACACCCGACACCCCAAAACAAAACTAAATCCCTAAAGACTCTAGGCACTCCCTGTCGCCAGGCAGTTTTGCACGACCTACTCCAAGAAGACAGTGCGCGGGACGATCTGGGAAACCAAGGTGTCGGCAATCTCACAGCAGTACCTGCCGCTCTGCTGAAACTTCATAGTCCTAGTAGTAGAGTAGGTAACCTTTAGCCTATGTTGGGGTAGTATAGTCCCTATATAATCCCTATGTAACCAGAAAAGTTAACCTTTAGTTCCCCGATGTTGCCCGACAAGTAGGTAGTAAATCATGCCTGTCCAGCGCAGCTTCAAGCCCAAAGGCAACGCAGAAGCGCCAATAGTGCAGTAGGCTGACAGATGGAGAAAGACGCTCCCTTTGAGCATCTACCCAGAGAGCCCAATACCCCTTAGTTACGGAATATAGCTTAAATCACAACATGAATCCCCATAAAATTTAAGGTATGTTCCTTAATTCAGGGGTAGTGGGCTCTCTGGGTACCCTGTTTTGGGAGAGCAGCGGTTGTGCCTTGCGGCATTCCTGCAAAATCAAAGAGCCCTCATGGACCTTTTCTGAAATCCTCTGCCCAGAAGCATGTCAACTGGACCTAGTCTGAAATAACTGCAAAGGCCCTTCGTCGTGCTTAAACTGGGGGCGTAGCAGGGTGTGTACGCCGATGAGCTTGTGGAGCCGTTTGTACCGGGGATTCTAGGATACTGTTTCAACTCAGCCAGCGAATCACTTATACCAGATCACATTGCAAAAGCCCCCTTGCTTCGGGTAAGATCAAAGACTAGGACCTAGAGTAGGTTCAGGTTCCCTTATAAGCCCCTTTTAGACCCCCAAAAGGGCACCCTTTTTATTCCTGGGTTACTCTTGGGTCCAGAAGAGCAGACTGCACTACTGCTACTACTACCATTACCATTGCCAGTACCACTACCACTACCACTACCACTACCACTACCACTACCACTACTACTACCACTATTACTACCTACTACTACTACTACTACTACTACTACTACTACTACTACTACTACTACTACTACTACTACTACTACTACTACTACTACTACTACTACTACTACTACTACTACTACTACTACTACTACTACTACTACTACTACTACTACTACTACTACTACTACTACTACTACTACTACTACTACTACTACTACTACTACTACTACTACTACTACTACTACTACTACTACTACTACTACTACTACTACTACTACTACTATTGCTACTACTACTACTACTACTACTACTACTACTACTACTACTACTACTACTACTACTACGACTACTACTACTACGACGACTACTACTACTGCTACTACTAGTGCTACTACTGCTACTGCTACTGCTACTGCTACTGCTGTTGCTACCGCGACTGCAAGGAGATCTTGGTTCGTCCTGGATCTGATGTCCCTGATTCCCTTCGACTTGATCGGCTTGATGATCGGCGGAAGTGGTGGCAATGACTTCGCGGAGCTCAAAAGCATCAAGGCGATTTGGCGTCTGTTGCAGGGGCTTCAGGGTTTACCTACAGTCTCCATTGTAGTTCCTTTTTTGGGGTTACCTTTTCGGATCCTTCATATAAAATTGGTGAAACCAAAAAAAGGAGCTACAATGGAGACTATAGCAGAATGACTGGGTTTCCCCAGTGTTTCTGTGGTGACCCCAGCAGGCAAATCGATGAAACCCTATACCTTATAAACCCAGGTTCCAGTGTAGTCTCACCTTTCACACTCCGAACCACATGCCTCGCCTGGATTCTCCGAGTGTGAGCGCCGAAACCCAGGTTCTCAGAGTGCTGAGACTTCTGAAGCTGACGCGGCTGCTCAAGGGGTCGAAGACTCTCGGAAAAAGCTCAGGTCAGGTAACACAGAGGCTTTGATATGGGAGTTTCCGAAAATGAGGGATACCTTAGTTTTGGGGGTCCTTATCATAAGGATCCTACTACTTAATGGAGTCCCCAATTTTCGGGAACTCCCATATAGTGTCTGAGTCGGCTTTCGGGTGTTTTTTGTAGCAGAACCGATCTTTTAATGGAACTTGCAAGTCAACATGTATGTAATTCCGGCCTAAACTTGCAGAGTTTTAGTACTACGGCTCGGGACCAATCTGGCATATTAACCTAATTGAATGGTGTGGGAGTGCATGCTTATCATACAAAGCACATTACAGCTTGTGGATGAATTACATCCTATCAATATTTATGCATGTGTACAGGGCTCTATTTTACCAGTTTCAATCAAAAAGCTGAGTACTTGCTGTACCGATAGAGTCGTTATCATTTGCTGAATGGTGATAGACCCATCTGATAGGAATGGAGAGAAATTGGTAAGCAGCCATCGAACATGGTCTGCCGTAAGCCAAACATCAGGCCTCTGACACCTTAGAGGGAATAACTGAATAACAGGTTTTGCTGCTTCGATCGCATGAGTCCCTTTAGACTCTTAGCTTCAGAAGTTGTCGCGTTTTGCTAGCGTTTGCGCTGCAATTCGTTTCTCATTATTATTATCGCGTTCGTGGCTCAGGCTTGGTAGGATCTAGAGGGACCTTTTGGGCGGTATGACAGTTCCTAACTCATCGATCACCGCTAAACTCCTTATATAAGCCTATACCAGGAACCCCAAAAAAGCATGGTGCAAGTGCCGAAACGCTCAGTTGATGCTATCACTGCTTTGTTTGAGGATTTCCGGCTTCTCGAACACTTAGCCTGACGTGTGGTGTGCATTGGATTTGGGATTTCGGTCACAAGTGCTCTGCGGGCACAATTGTGTGCAGCCGCAGCTCCCATGGTTGCCATGCTTTCCGTCGGGGTAGGGGTGCGGGGTGGGGTGGGAATTTGCCAGCTGAGGATCATTCAGCGACTGGAAATTCCAGTGGCCATACCATACCAACATCTGGCATTGATCAGGTTTATGTTTGTACTCATGATGGCCTGCCACTGGCTGGCCTGTTCCCTGGCCGCACGAGCCGCGGCATGGTGTGGAAGACGTCGACTTCTTCTTCAGAACCCGAAACCCTAAAACTCTATTACTAAACCCCAAACCCCAAACCTACACAATGACCCCTCCATGTGGCTCGTGTTTCAGGCTTATGGGCAATGACGTTGCAGCTTGTGGATGCTGAGATCCTCGGCAGCAAGACCGAGCAGAGACTGAGCACTGAGTACTGCAGCCGGAACTACTAAGCTTTTAGACATCCGGGTTCGGAGTGCCAGAGTCCAAGCACAAGATTTTTGGTGTGTATGAGAACTTGCAGACTTGTCGACCCATGATGGCCGCTACAAGCCGCTATCCCTGGTAGCATTGGGACCTTCTGTCCACTTCGCTGAAAGCGCCAAGGAGCACCAAGCGTACAAGCACCACTTTCAGCATGCATGCAAGTGATTTTCGTTTATCTGTTCGAAGAGCAGGGTTTCGTAACGCTGGCAACAGAGCTTGTCGTACCTTCGCAGTCTCAGCGTTCCGAGAATACTTGTTCTGGCCAACCTGGCAAGCAGATTCCCTGAATGGCAAGTTCAATACTCTCCTGCAGTTAACCAGCATTTCTGCAATCATCGCTCGAGGGTCTCACTCTCTCGCTCCCTCGCTCTCTCATGGGTTTGTTTCCAGCATGCTGAACTGCGCACAGCCCAGACACATGCTGGGTGTGCACAAAAAGACCTATGCCCAATGTATTCCAACTGTCCTGACTGGTATCAAGTACATCATTGAAGTTCGATCTGGGACCACAATGACTACGCTATATGTTCTGCTACTGGATAGAGAAAGATAGGGTCACTGTGACTTACTTAAACCCGACCCTAAACAGATGCAAAACAAGCAAAGACCCCTCGTTTTTCTAGCCGCCAGCACCTCCTCATCCTCCTCCTTCTGCTCCTCCTCCAGGTTTCCTCGATGGATTAACGACATCGAATCATCCGATCTGGAGTTCGGAATCGAGTCGTCGAGATCGCCTCTACGAATCTACGTTGCCGCGTTCTACTTCTGCGCCTACACGATGACCTCCGTGGGCTACGGGGATGCTGGGCCGGATAGCTTCGCTGTTGACCGTAGACTATAGGGGCCTAAGTAATTATCTACGGTATGCTATTTTGGGGGTTCCTTCTTATAATTATAGTGTAATGGGCCCCCAAACCCTGTTTCAATTATGAAGGCCCCTATACTAAATGCTTAGGATGGCCCTTAAGTAGCCCATATAAATATAGACCCTTTAACGGAACTCCAATTCTAATTATGACGGCCCCTATATTATACTCTTATAAGGCCTTTTCCCCACCCAATTTCCCAGGACATCGGCCCGAAGAACATCCTAGAGCGCTTGGTCTGCTGCGGGATCATCCTGAGCGCTGGCCTTTGCTGGGCCTACATCCTGGGTGAGGCCTGTGGCACCGAACCCTATACACTAAACCTAAACGCTAAATCCTATAATTAAACCCTCAGCCCTAAAAGCCCTAAAGCCCTAGACCCTGAACCCTAAAACCTCAACCCTAAAGGCTGGCGAAGATCCCCCTTGGCTTGCATCACTGCAGAATAATGTGAAGATCATCGCTGACACTCAAACACTTATGGCGCAGCAGATGCAGACTTCTGGGGCTGAGTTGGCTAAGATTCAGGAAGGGATTCGGAATTTGAGCATTGGGCAGGAATCTCTCACTCGTAGAGCTGATGATCAAGAAGCTGCACTCGAACAGATGAAAAGAGAGTTCCGACAGCTTGAGAAGGAATTCTTAGAGCTTAAGAGTGCACCGCCTACCCGTCCTGTGAGTCCTGTTCAAACGCCCCGTTCGGGAGTAGGTAGGGGGGATAGTCCTCGTTTCTCTGGCAGCGGAAATTCGGGGAGGGAAATTGATGAACTTCAGATTGTCATCGGCGGCTGGGCTGAAGCCAAGCGGGATGCCATTGACCGTGATGTTAGAAACATGTTTCAGTCCTTGCATGCAACCCCACTTCTCAAGGCAATCTACATTCCTTATGTCCGTAGTGCCTTTTGCAGGGTCGAACTTGTCTTTGCTGATTCTGATATTTGGGCACGGCGCAAGCTTCAGTCTACGGTACTCACTCACTTGAAGGAATCTGGCTATCGCTCTGTCATTCCGGGACAGGAAGGTGCCAAGTTCTGGTTTTCGCGCAATCGCACCCCGGAGGAGCGAGCGAAGCTGCGGGCAGTGTTGTCTGTTCAAGAGTTATGTGTTAAATACCTTGGCGAGGCTTTGGTTGACAGGGACTGGCGGGGGAAAGTTTGGGCAAACCAGGTTCAGTTGCTTCAACATGTTGAACGATCTCAGAGGGCACACCAAACGTTGATGCTCACGGATGCCCGAGGTAATGAAACAGGATGGTTTCTGGATGTCACTAAAACGGCTGCCGTTTTGGGGATTTCGGAAAGTACTGTCCTCGATCATTTTGGTGCTGAGTAGGGACAGGGAGGGAGAGTGCTGGAGACGTCGTGTTTCAACCCAAGTGAAAGTGACACGTACTTTCAGTCCACCCTGCATGCGCTTCCCAAGATGGGAGGGACCATGGCTGCTTCAATTAGGTGCATGACTTGGAACTTGCATGGAAAGGGGCTGGATCATGTTTCTACGCTCATGACGAGCCTGGAGAGTCCGCCTGAGGTAATGTTCTTTCAGGAGCTTGGAGACGTAAGGGGTTTGGACGTGGGAAGGCATCGCGAAGACTTTGTCACAATTGCGGGTAGGGATTTTGTTGCATATGTTGCCAATCCGACACTTTGTCACAGATGCACGGCTGTTTTGATCTCTTGTGAGATGGAATTTACGTTGCATGAGTTGCATGTGCATGGTATTGGAATTAGTGTACAAGGCAAGATGCTTGACAGGCCCTTCTTTCTCGCTACGATGCATTTCCCGCATGAGCACCGTCCAGACGTTCTGGAAGTCTGGAGAGCCTGTTTGCTGAGTCTACAGGAGTGTGTCGACTTGTGCGAGGAGGGATGCTCTCAATTGATTGGCCATGATTTGAATCAGAATGCTCACGCAGAGGTCGACTCTTTTGATGGCATGTTGCACTATCGGCAATTTGTAGCCAGAACTGGGTTGGAGCTGAGTCCCCCTTTGGGGGCAACCTGGGTAGCTCGGGGCTCGGAGAGTTGCATTGACTTCTTTCTGCATTCTCTTCCTAACGCGGAAGTCAACTTCTGGAAACGGGAAGATCTGCGCCTTGCTCTCCCGTCTGATCATAACGCCATTGGAGTCACTGTACGGTTGCAAGCAGGTCGCACGCCACTCCGTAGAAGGCCTCGTCAGTCTAGGTGTGGCAAATGGTCTGTCGACACTGAAAAGCTGTGGGATAACCTTCACATGCAATCGGATTGGAATCAGGAGGTCCTTGCTGCAGCATCCCAAGCACCGGGGGTGAGCACCCGACCCAGAACTCTCAGGTATGTTGACAGTGCTCATGTGAAGGATCTTGTTCAACGGCGGAAGAGAGCTTCCACATCAGATGAGCGTGCAGCCTTTATGCAAGAAATCCAGCAATGTCGCAGGGAGGACAGACAACAACATAAAATGGACCTGCTCGCAAAGGCCAAGGCTGGAGACAGACGCGCTATTGCACACTTGCGTTCCAGTGCGCAAGGAACCTTCACTGAGGGCTCTTACTTGTACCGTGCTGGAGGTTTGTCACAGGGATTAAAAGACCTGCATGATTTTTATGCGCGTAAGTATGCCTCGGATGAACCTCCCATCACGGAGCACCACTTTCAACTTGCTCATGACAGGCACGGCAGTGTCCCAGTGACTGCGGTGACTAAGGACGAAGTGCTGAAAGCCCTTTCTCAGTGCAAGAACGGTGTCAGCTCTGGGCTTGATGGGGTCGTCTTCGAGGGGTTGCGATCGGTAGTTGCCCGCGATGTGCATGAACGTATCCCTGCGTACTTCACTCGATTACTTGCAGGCATCGAAGCTGTGCCCACTTGCTGGATGGTGGGCCGCATTGTGTTACTCCCTAAAGTTCCTAGACCCTCTCAACCGTCGGAATTACGCCCTATTTGCCTCGTACCTACCTTGAGCAGGCTGTACGCCAAGGTCTTGATGGTACGACTTCGCAAGTCCTCGCCTATGTACGGGGCTAACCAGCTGGCATGTCGGCCTGGTGTGCAGGTACTTGATGGCATCACGGCGGCACAGAGTACCATGGCAGTTGTTAAGCGGCTTACCGGACGTACTTGCAAGGTTGCAAAACTGGACATTAAAGCCGCCTTTGACAGCATCTCACATTCGGCCGTCTTTCAGTGGCTTATGGCTTGTGACCCATGTGCTGAGGCAGAAGGACTTATGAAGCTGTGTTTTGGCACGTCGGTGCAGATCGGGATGGGAGGGCTTGAACGTTCCTTGAACATGTCCAGAGGAATTATGCAGGGTTCTGCATACTCGGCAGACTTATTCTCTCGTATCATGGATTGGTACCTGTCTCCGCTTCTTGCTCGCTTTGCAGCTACCCAGAGGACCGCCGATTGAAAAAAATCAAGCGGGATTGAAAATTCTCAGCGTTTTGATTGTGTCGATCAAATTCAATAGAAAACGATCTTTTTCAATAGAAATTTAAATCCTCAAAATCAATAGAACTGCGACATAAAAATCAATAGAAACCTCCACATCAAAATCAATAGAAAATCTCCATAAAATCAATAGAAATTTTCCATAAAATCAATAGAAATTTTCCATAAAATCAATAGAAATTTTCCATAAAATCAATAGAAATGTTATCTCAAATCAAACGAGAAACACTTCTGACATCAATAGATTTCAGCGCTATCTCTGCCTCCACCACTATATATAATACCTCTACCTCGACCTCAACCTGTACCTTTATCCGTATCTCTGCCTGTATATCTCTACCTTTACATCTTTACTTCTTTATCTCTCTATCGCTGTATATCTCTCTATCGCTCTACCGCTCTATCGCTCGATCTACCGCTCTACCGCTCGGTCGCTCTATCTCTCTATCTCTTATATCTCCCTGTCTCTCTATCTCTCCATCTCTACCTGTATTTTTATTTCTATATATCTATCTCTTTCTTTTTTCTCTTTCTCTATCTCTCACTTTCTCTTCCCCACCCTTTCCCAGAAGGCTTCCAGCCTAACACTTCTTTTTCACAGCAGCGGCAGGGAATCTTGGGTGAAGCTTCTTTTGAGCTCTCCTTCGAAACTTGGCCTTGTAAAGGCCTCGGAGCCTAACTTTCAAAAACGGTTCCTGGCTACTTGGACTTGGACGTGGAATTGGACTCAGGCATTCCAGCCTAACACTTCTTTTCCACAGCTGCGGCAGGGAATCTTGGGTGAAGATTCTCTTGAGCTCTTCCTCAAAACTTGGCCGTGGAGGCTTGGAGCTTACCTTTCAAAAAAAAGCTCCGGGCTACTTGGGCTTGGACTTGGTATTGGACACTGGCAGCCCGCATGGCTGCAAGCCGTCCCTGACTCTCGGGTTTTGCTTGATGATCATTTTTTGAATCGGGGACAAAAAATCCCAAACGAGAAGGTGACCCGGCGGAGCTTCCGCTTCAGCTTCCTGTGAGGGGTCGTGGTAAAAGTCAGGCTCCTCTGGCCACTCCTTCATGGCCTGCTCAAAGTCACTCTGAGTGATCGGAGGGTCATACATGCCCAAGACCATCGTTTCCTGGCTCAGGCTCACGTTGTCCGGGCTCTGGTTTGGCCCCTTGGCCATGGTCTCGGCAGCTTGGCAAGCTTCCCAAACGGCTTCCAGACCTCCATCCGAGTTGTCTTCTTCCTGCAGATCTGTTTCGGCGTAAGGGTTTAAAAGCTGGTTATGAGGGTATAGGGGTTCACATCTATCTATCTATATATATATATATATATATATACAAAATCTATATATCGCACTGAAAGAATCCCGCCTCGAGAGCAAAGCAGGTGGCGGCTGCAGGCCTCTTGGCTGTCGTCTCTGCCGGAGTCTCCAAGGTGGCGTCTGGCCTCTTGACTGTCGTCTCTGCCGAAGTCTCCAAGGTGGCGGCTGGCCTCTTGACTGTCGCCTTTGCAGAAGTCTCCAAGGTGGCGGCTGGCCTCTTGGCTGTCGTCTCTGCAGGAGTCTCCAAGGTGGCGGTTTGGCTCTTGGGAGCTTGGCCACTGGAGGTCGTGGAAGTCGCAGGTCTTTTCTTGACGACCTTGACCTTGACGACGGCCTCCTTGTCTGCGAGCTTGGCAGCTGGCTTCTTCGAGACCGGGGCCTGTCGAGGCACAGCCAAAACTTCAAAAAACAGACTTAAGCTCGACAAGCTCACAGGCAAGTATCTGGCCTGCCGTGCGGCCGGCTTCTTCTGGCTTCCTACTTTTGCCATCTGAAGAGCCTATAAACTGCAGCTATAGACGGCGACACATTTTTAAGCGTCCGGATTATACC